GTTGTTTAAATTGTTCTTCTATGCTTAATGGGTTTCTAATGCTTAATTTTAGGTTAGACAACAAATGATCAAATTAGGGAATTAGGAACACAAGGTTAGGATCAAACACCATGGCCTAATCATACTTTAGCTAGAATCAATCTTTGAATCTGAATTAGACTTGTTACTTGACTCCATATAACCCAGAATTGAATTGTTATGGTGATTCGAATGCCCTAGTCTCCAAATCTGTTTTCCAACTCTTAAAACCACTCTTTGTTACACTTGTTTATTTGCTTTCATTCGCAATTTCAGTTTGCTCACTTCCTTTCACAATCACAATCACTCTCACTTTAATTTCTGTTTTAGACTTAACTTCCTAACTTCTTGAATTCGGTAATCTACGTACATAACTAATTTGAACTTCTCAGTCTTCGTGGGTACGACCTCGTACTTGTCTTGCTATATTACTAATTGCCCCGTACAATTGCGAGTTAACATAATAATTAACAACATTACGCATGGAGGTAGACCGAGCAAACTCCTCACTTTTTACCACCGAAATTGAGCAGGCTGCTCCCCCGAAACGATTCTCAACGCCCTCTTTCACATGCTTCAAAGGGGATTCCGATCCTGAAAGTCATCTGAAGCATTTCAAAAGCGTTATGATCCTCCACAAGGTTGAAGACGCATTAATGTGCAAAGTGTTGGCAATGACTTTGCTAGGAGCAGCTCAGGACTGTTTCTACACCCTGCCATTCGGGTCGATCAGCAGCTTCAAGGAGCGTGCTTATGTCTTCACCAAGGAATACACTTCTTACCAGACGATTAAGAAGAACCCTGACCATCTGTTCAACTTGCACAAGAAGTCCGACGAATCCCTCCGAGACTACATCAAGAGGTTCAAGGCGGAGAGGGCAAAAATCGTAGGATGTGATGACCAAGTTGCATCCTCTGCCTTCAAGAGGGGTTTGCCAACTGAGTGTGAGCTGTATGGTGAGCTGACCATCTCTCCCTGCCAAACATTGGTAGAAGTTTTCGCAACAGCAGAGCACTACGCACTTTGGGATGACGACCGAATTGCCGCAAAGAAGGCTGCCAAGCAAGCCGATCAACTGGCTGAGCAGGCAAGCCAAAGGAACGGCAACAACAAGGATGAAGGCAAGCGCAGATCACAGCCTGAAGGAGGTACTCCAGCAACTGAGAGCTACACCAAGTTCACTATCCTGATTCACCAGATCCTAGCCCAAGGAAGGGACATGCCTTGGTTGAAGAAACCATCGCCTTTGAAGGGAAACCCAGCCAAGAAAGATACCAGTAGATATTGCGCATGAAGGGCACGGTCATTACACAAACGACTGTTTCGCCTGGAAAAGGCACCTCGAAGAGCTGGTCAGAGATGGCCATTGCACGGAATTCATTGCAATGGGGTCTATCCAGCAAATCAAGGATTGTGATGCAGTTGCCAATGAGCCTCCACAAAAAAATTCATACGGATCAACACGATTCTAGCCGACTCCAAAAGTCTGGGCTGACCACCAGGGAGCAGAAGAGAAAGATCAAGCAAGCGAATTTCGTCTCCCAAGCCGTCACCAGCTACCTAGTCATGGAAGACGATCCTGGCATCATCTTTTAAGGGAGGGAGGTACTAAGACAATGGAATGCCCATCACCTCCAGGGGTATTATCCATGAAGCTCCTCACCTATCAGCTCGCCTCTAAGCAGGCGGCCGAGCCTCCCTCACCTTCATTGAAGCCAAGTTACTTTTGATGTTACCCGTGCAACTCATCTCTTTTGTTCAATAAAGCAATGTAGTGACATCGACATCAATACAAGTTCAAGCATTTCTTTCCAATGAAGTGTTCGCAAAAGCAATCGACACGTCTCCGGACGTCGGCCAAATTGGCCACTCTCATCGACACGTCTCCGGACGTAGGCCAAACGGGCCACACTCATCGACACGTCTCCTGACGTAGGCCAAACGGGCCACTCTCATCGACACGTCTGTGGACGTCGGCCAAACGGGCCACACTTATTGACACGTCTCCGGACATCGGCTAAACGGGCCACACTCATTGACACGTCTTCGGACGTAGGCCAAACGGGCCACTCTCATCAACACGTCTCCGGACGTAGGCCAAACGGGCCACTCTCATCAACACGTCTCCGGACGTAGGCCAAACGGGCCACTCTCATCAACACGTCTCCGGACGTAGGCCAAACGGGCCACTCTCATCAACACGTCTCCGGACGTAGGCCAAACGGGCCACTCTCATCAACACGTCTCCGGACGTAGGCCAAACGGGCCACTCTCATCAACACGTCTCCGGACGTAGGCCAAACGGGCCACTCTCATCAACACGTCTCCGGACGTAGGCCAAACGGGCCACTCTCATCAACACGTCTCCGGACGTAGGCCAAACGGGCCACTCTCATCAACACGTCTCCGGACGTAGGCCAAACGGGCCACTCTCATCAACACGTCTCCGGACGTAGGCCAAACGGGCCACTCTCATCAACACGTCTCCGGACGTAGGCCAAACGGGCCACTCTCATCAACACGTCTCCGGACGTAGGCCAAACGGGCCACTCTCATCAACACGTCTCCGGACGTCGGCCAAACGGGCCACTCTCATCGACACGTCTCCGGGCGTCGACCAAACGGGCTACACTCATCGACACGTCTCCGGACGTAGGCCAAACGGGCCACACTCATCGACACATCTCCGGACGTAGGCCAAACGAGCCACTCTCATCGACACGTCTCCAGACGTAGACCAAACGGGCCACACTCATCGACACGTCTCCAGATGTAGACCAAACAGGCCACTCTCATTGACAAGTCTCCGAACGTAGGCCGAACGGGCCCCACACACTCATTGACACGTCTCCGGACGTAGGCTAAACATGCCACAACCCAGAGACACTCAAGCAATTCACAAGACAATATGCAAATTGAAGTTGAAAAAACAACTGAAATTTCCATTGCAAACTGGCCAACTGGCCGAGTTCAACAAAAAGAAGATGGTCAAACCAGACCAATTATGCTAAACATGAAAGCAGACTACAAAAGCTGAAGAGAAATAATTGAGTCTTCATCTACTCCGAGACGCCAGCTGGGGATCCTTGATCCGCAGCTTGTTTAGCATCCACATGATCAGCCACGATCTCAGGAGCTCCACATGCCTGATCCATGACGTTTGCCACCATAGCCAACCTGGCGGATTTGATCAACTAGCTCAACATAAGTGGATGGGCTTGACAGAAAGTTTGTCTTCAGCAAATCAAACACGCCTACATCCCCTGCAGGGCTGCACTTGTCCACCTTTGGATCAGCCGATGACGTTGTAGAAGAACCCTTCACCCGAGCAGATGACGAGGGACCAACTCTTACTTAAGTCTTCTCAGTAAAAGGGATCCTTGGCCTCTTCATCAAGGGGGGATTCGGCAGAACACTCATCCTGCCCAACCGGCAGATCATCAGAGTCTAGACCGTTCTACTTCCATCTCTCAACATCTTGGGCAGGGGGCAGACCACCAACTTCCTCCCGATACTCGCTCAGTAGCCACCAATGGCCACCGCCTCTCCAACCATCTTCGGCCACCAGTCACGACGACAACCAGCCTAGTCCTACCTAGCTGGTCCTTACGGCCAAAAAGAGAAGACGAAGAAAAAATATACGTGCTCGACTTACCTTGGGAAGCACGGCAACTCCTCTCTTCGACAAGCAGTACAAATTCTCCAAGATCTTTCTCAAGCTAGAAAGTAGAGAAGTTAAGTTTGCGATGTGAGAAAGAGTGAAGAGAAGCCCTGTATTTATACAAGTTGGACAACCCGGGTCAAGAAGGAATCGCAAGCTCATTCCTATTGGGAATCCAACTCCAAGAACAGTCAGAAGCCTACTCCAATTGGGAATCTGATCTGCAAAAGGAATCCAACTCCAAGAATAGTCAGAAGCCTACTCCAATTGGAAAACCGATCTGCAAAAGGAGTCCAACACACAGAAGAAAGCCCAGATACAGTTGGAGAGCCCGAAAAATAATTTCATCTCCTACATGCCACGCAAGCGCCATGCAGAAGCTAAGGGGGCATTTGTGGGAGCAATTATTTTCGTCTCCAATCAAAGCACGCCATGTGGAAAAGAAGATTATCCCTTAAATTAATTAATTAAACCAATTATTGGGATAATTAATTAATTTGGATAATATCTTAATTATATGGTATTATCTCATAATTAATAAAGATAATATCATTAATTGGGATATTATCATAATAAAGGGATATTATCTTATAATTAATGAGATAATATCAATAATTCAGGTATTATCGTATCAAAGGGATAGTATCCTAATTATAGGATATTATTTTATAATTAACGAGATAATTCAGATATTATCAAAGTCTGACTCAATCTCTACGAAAACCCTAGCCTCGAGGCTCCTATAAATAGATGGGTTTATTCATCATTCAAGGTACTTCAAAAACCCTACATCTAAACCTATTCTTGATATTCGAGAAAAATACCCGAAGATCTCTCTCTCTCCCTCTCCACTCTCCACTCTCCATATTTTCTCCACACAGCTCCGGCCACCACGCACGGCTCTGGCCGCCCGGTTCACACCATATATACAACTCCGTACCCTTTTCTTAGCTATTGTTTTCCTACAAACACTCGAACTAACTTAGGCATCGGAGGGCCTTTGGCCGACACCCCCCGGGGGTGGTCTATTTACTCCAATCTTTTTTACAGGAATCGAGAAGGAGAGAGAAGGAAGATCGAAGGTTGAAGGATCTAGAAGCGAATATTCTCCCGCGAGATTATTTGCACAAACAGGGTGCATTTCATTTTGCATTTACCATTCATCTTACATTTCACCCTTGAGCTTTCTCAAGGAAACCAGTTGGATTGGAGCGATGCTGAAGATAATCATGCGAGCTACAACTGCTGCTTCTTCTTCTTACTGGAGCAATAGGGGTATGAATTGTCTTCACTCTAACTCCAGTCTTCTTGTTTACGTCAACAATTACATTGCTTTCTTTCACTCTCTATCTTCTAAACCAATCAAATTCAAATCACGAAGATCTTGTGACCATGGCCTAAATTACGAACCCAAATCCCATTCCTCCCCCACCCCCTACACACTCAATGGCAGCCCCACATAAAAGCCCACCAAACCACAACCTCTCTCTCTCTCTCTCTCTCTCTCTCTCTCTCTCTCTAAACTTATAAATACCCAATTCGAAAACAAAATTCTACTAATTCATAAAACTGGCATATTCTTGCATACCTAAGAATTGGGGTTTTCCATTTCATCCACTTTCTCAACCTTCACAGTTAGTGAATTTGCACAGACATCCACAGCATCTGAACCTTTCTCAGGCAAATCGGGTTTAAAAGCAGGAGATGCATCGGACCCATCAACGGGTTTCACCGTAAAATCAGCACTGTCCGAACGCGGGTCTGAACATGGAATAGAAAGTGAGGATAAGGGAGGCCAGTATAGCCGGGCGGCTATACCTTTTAATTATATTATATTACATTTTCCTTATTTTTCTTAATACAATACCTTATAAAATGTCAAATTTACACTTATATTTGACGGGCATTTGGATGGAATTGTGAAAAAGCTAACAGCAAGGGTGAAATTGGCGAATAAATTTAATACAATGGCTAAATTGGCTGAAAAATTAATTCAGGGTGGAGATTTCAACAAGCGGGATAGTTCAGGGGGGGTATTCAGCTATTTACCCTATAAAGAAAGGCCAATAGATCGACCTTAGGGAGTATCGAACTCTGGCACTCCTGTTAAGTAGATATACGCTGCAGCCAACTCCCCTAAATATGCTGTTGTGCAAATATCCAGACGCAATACTGTATATACGATTCGTATAATATTAATATATATATATATATATAATATAAAGAATTTTTTTTCGAGGGCCCTATGCGGTGGTGCCACTTGCACCACCCCAGGGCCGCCCCTAGGCCAATGCAAAGGTTTCTAATGTTCTATCTTAGCTGAATTGAGCACACTCTGTGTCTACCTCCTCATCTGCTTAGCCTTCGTCTAGAAGATGTAGTTAGGGGAGAGCTTGAGAAGATTTTCTTAGATGAGGTTTGTGGCCTGATATATATTTGTTCTTGATATATTTTGAATTTTGCCCTTTGTTTCTTATTTACAATGTTGTTACTTTTTTTTTTTTTTGGGTGCATCACAATGTTTTTAGTTTGATTTACTGTGCTATTGTTCCAATGTAGGTAATCACCAACTTGGTACTTCGCATTTTTCTCCATAGCATCCAATCCATTAAAGATAGCTTTATCTTACCTAATGGTGGTCATCCAACTTTTAGGGTATATTTGTTTACCATATTTCAAATTTTATGACGATAGCTTTTGTTCAAATTTTAGTCTGTATAATTGGAGTCAGCTTGGTTGCTTGCTTCAATTCGTTATTTATTTATTTTTATTCGTATTCTTTCCAATTTTCAATTTTAAGATACCCCAATTTATTTGTGTATGAGAACTGCCAATCTAAATACCTAGTATCATTGATACAGGTTATTAGGCCTTAAGCTTAATGGCTGATTGTTAAAATTTAGCCTCAGTTAAGGTTGTTAGCTTAAAATGGAGCTGCTGATTAGCGGATAATTTATTCCCTGGATCCTGCATAAATTAATGTACTCCACCTTCATTTGATGTGACAATATGTAATATACAATGATCTTGTTCTCTATATTCAAATTTGGTTTGTTTTCGTTTTCTGAAACATGGTGTCAGAGCACCAAGCTCTTGAGATCTAACCCCATTGCCACCCTTACCCTTAGAAGAAAGGAACAAAGAAAAAATATGGACAATTTCTTCTCTCTCACTCACTACTATGCCATAGGTTCCGTTAAATCTTTTGGCTTGGATTTCATCTCAGTTCTCGGCTTGGTTTACCTCATTCCCTGTGGGTGACCAAACTAACAACAAGGGCCTGTCTTCTTCTTCTTCTTTATGAAATTGAAGTGCCTAATTACCTTGAAGGGGTTGAGCTGTCCAAGTATTCTTGAAAGCTCTAAAGCATGCTTTTGATTCTATTTGCAGGAGTTTAGAGTTGTCAATATCCACTCGCCAGCTTAAGAAGTGAGTATCACTGAGATAGGCTGATTATTTGTTGTTCACACTGAATGGGTGTCTATTAGGCATTTAGACTATATTAAGATTGTCAGCTTAAATCAAGATCTAATTTGCAGAGCTGTTTACCAGAGGAATTAATGTTTTCTTTTTGACCTTTTACAACACTTAGCATGTTGTGTTTCCGGACTCCTAACTCATACAACAAGTTGACAATTGTTTACACCGAAAAGGACCCGCCGGCCATTCGCATGGGGTTTGGCCGGGGAGTTTGCTTGTTGCGATTGCGAAGGCGTGCCCCTGTTGGCAGTGAAAAACTCCAACAGACTGAAAATGGTAAGACTGAAAAATGCACACAGATATTGACTTTAATCAATCAATTGTGGATTGGGCAGGGAACTGACCCAATACAAGGTTCTTTTCTATGCCTCAATTAAGAGGACTTCAATATTCATCTAGTGCGAAAATGATAACTGACAGAAGCTAAAATTGAACAGTAATGGAAATGACAGAATTTATCGGAATATTTCTCTATTCAGACAACTTGAAAGAAAAAGGAACAACACAGCTTGAATATTTCTCTATTCAAACCTGGTACATAAAATTAAAATGGAGATTGAAGATTTCTCTATTCAATCTTGTACAAGAATAAATCATACCAAGAGTTGGCAGAGCAAAATAAAGAAAATTCCTCAAGAGTTGTCAACTGGAAAATTCAAAGAATGAAAAAGGAAGGCTGTTTCAAGCTTTTGAGCTGGGTTTATAGACGTTGAGTCTGGTTTTTGTTGGTTGACTTGTGTGTCTTTGCTGATGATTTCTCCTTCAATTTATAGAGAATGGAGGTTGGTTGAGTGGACCAGCAGTCAATTTGAAGTACCCACTTGCCATTGGTTTTGGTGAGTGGGTTGCTGAAAATACAAGTAAACCCAAAAATTTGCTAAGAGGCTTTGATGTGATTTGACTGAAGTTGTCACTATTAGACTCAAAGAAATCCAAAGTATTAGTCCACTTATCATTGATTGGTGAGTGACAGCCAAAAGTAGCTAACTAAAAGACAAAAAGAAATGTAGAGATAATGACCACCATCTTTACTTCTTTCTTTATTCATTCTTTAAGCTCACTTGCATATTATTTTATTCTTCTTTCAACCTTTGTGTAGACTTTTCACGTGTATGTTGGGCTTTGGCTTTGTTTTAATATTCTTCATCACAGAGAATTTTAAATTGTTTCCATCTACCACATCTTCATTTTATTCTTCTTTGAATCAACTCACTGGTGATGAAGTCCTTCCATTGATAAAGTGAAAATTGATTTGCAGCCACTGAGTTTCTCCTCCGAACATGCCTTGATGCATAATAAACGGGGAATGCTAGGTTGATCCAATTGCTGCCAATTTCGGATATGTTGTTCTCCACATAAGTAGGAACAACATTGACTGGTCGTCACAGACTGCTGTCACGAACAGAAATCATGATTAGTGCTCTGAAGATTCAATACTTGTGTAAATGAAGCCAAATTCGGATATGTCATAGTAGACATCCAAATGAACAACTTTCATGAAGAACGAATGTTCATTTGAGGGCTGGAAGCTGGCCTGAATCGGGCCATAATTAGGCCCGAATTGCCACTGTTTTCAGCTTTCGCTGTTGCTGGTATGCTTCTGATTTTTGATGTCGCGAGGATTCCACATTTATCCAAATGATCCCAAATTTGAATATGTTGCAGTAGACATTCTAATGAAAAACTTTCATGAAGAAAGACAATTCATTAGAGCATTGGAATTAGGCCCGAATTGCTGCTATAAGCTTTTTGCTGGCGCTGCACATCTGGTGTTTTCAGCTCTCAGGATTCCACATTTGTCCGAATAAACCCAAATTTGGATATGTTGCAGTAGACATAGAGATGAACAACTTTCGTGAAGGATGAAACTTGATTTGAGCGCTGAATTTAAATCTTGGGCCCACTCCATCTGACTGCAGCAATGCATGTCTAGCCATATTTTGGCCATTTTGATGTTCATGGAACATTATCTTCCATTTTAGGCAAAAATACGATTTTTGGTACAAACAACAATCATGTGCTAATAATTGGCAAGTGATTATGTTTCGTCCATTTGTGGGAGAGATAATTGCTGCAAACTTTAAAGTCTCTACTGCAAATGGTTTACGTCGTATGTATTCTACTGAGATGAACTGAGTGTAGCTTATTTCTAGGTCTCATTTAATTTTTCCTTCTTAGTTTCTCTTTGGTGCAAGCAATTCTCACTGTAATTGGCAGTGCCCCTTGAATTTTTTGATGATATTTATGTACCTATTCATCTTTTGCCTGTTCCATCCCACTCCGAGCCCGACACAAGAAAGAGGTGACCCTTCCATGTCTGCTTTGATAGAAGTACATATAGAGCTTTATATGCATAATCCTGCATGATTTCTTGTTTATTGGTGTTTTTTTAAATTACCCTCAAATATGTCATTCATTATATTCGCTGAGGATTACAGGGACAGAGTCATATGGTCATGGAAGTGTCCTGATTCAGATGCAGAACTTGTTATTGATGGGATGGATCAAGTTCGTGTTATTGTCTGTTTATCCATATACACTCAAATTTATGGTGCCTTAAGTGTATACTAACTTTTAGTTCCAAATGGGCGGATAAAATTCCAAGCTCACAGTGTGAACTATCCTCCAATTCTAATTGAGCAGCCAGAAGACTCAAAACCATTTGCCCCTACGGTGGTTACCGTAAGTTCATGCTTTGAACCTTATCATATGAGTCATTGCATCTAGCTGTAGCATCACTTGATCTCTAGTTCTCTACGATTCTCCAAAGGCAATGAATTACTGAAAAAATGCTGCTTTGTGAAACTTTTGTTCTCTTTAAAATATGCTATTCCTTCGTTCACATATAGTGTTGATGCGAAAAAGTGGTTCGGCACTCTTGGGCTCAACTTAGTGATATTGGACCTTCGGAATGCTTTAGGCCTCGGTGTAGCGTGTGATCTGCAAGATGAGAAAACGCTCGGTAAAACCTAGGGTACCGGTGTGGTACCGGCCAAAGGCTCTCCGATGTTTAAGTAAGTTTGGATTTAGTAAATTAAATTGACAGATTTGACCACAAAAAAAAAAAACTGACAGATCAATAGGCTTGTATGCCGTTAGGTCTGGTTACCTCTATTTTGGGATAGCTGTCCTCTTTTATAGGCAGTGGGAGTTGTGCATGTTGTTTAGAATTTCGATGTGGGACTGTAGATGTCAATTGTGAACATGCCACGTGTCCTGGAGAAGGGAGTTGCCCTAATCGTTGGATCGGTAGGCTAGGTGCCGAAGGCTACCATAATCAGGCTCAATCTTGTCCACGTGTCTGACTCCCATAGGCTGTTCATTTTGGCATACACAGGAGTCCCCCAAGTTCTCATTTGATAGTTCTCGGATGGGGATTTGATGCCTTCTTCGGCAAGCCGAATACCGTCCTACCGTTCGGTCACCAGGTAAAGGCTGGCACCTGGTCCTTGTCCCTGCGCTTCTTAGTTCGGAAGCATATACTTGGGAACTCAAGGGTCACTCCTTCAGGGATTACCGTTCGGTAGCGGATGCCATGTGAAATGGGCACCGAACAGGCCTTTCCAATTAGTCGTTGACTTGAGAAAGTTTGATCTTTCATTCGAGGCACGCACGCTGGGGAGGAGAAGCGATGGGACAGGATGACGCTTCGTCTTCTGTGCCTCGCGTGCTGTCAGAACTCCCATTCCCTAGGTAACACGTGGCGTGTCTACTCACGCGGAGCAGCGCCATTAATGCATCGTTTGGTTTCTCGAGGCGTGCCGTTCCAATCCTTCGCCCTATAAATAGGAGTGACTCCAGATGAGAAGTTCACTTTGCGTGTTTGTGAGAAGGGACAGCTCTGTCCAGGCGATTCCAGGTGAGAGTTAACGACAACCAAGGCGATTTCTGACGAGATGATTCGGTAGTCGAGGCGATTTCTAATGAGACTATTCGGCAGTCGAGGCGATTTCCCTTCGTCTACAGTTTGTGATAAGGTACCGTTCGGCACTTCATCCAATTCTTTAATTATTCTGTACACGTCCAACCTTGGCATGAACTAGACTGAACTTTATGCAAGTGGGGTTTTGTTCGGTAGTCTGATTGCCATAGGTAGTGATGTAGGTATCGGTAGGCTAGTCTTCTGCATGGCCCTTAGTTTTCTTTTCTCTCTGTTTGTAGATGTTCGATAGCGAGTCTCCACTCGAGAGAGAACCCAACATGTTTAATGAGGAGTCATCGGACGGTCAGGGGGATTCCAGCAGCGAGACCTTGAGTCTTGATGCCGAGATTGATGGTGATACCGATGTCGAGGTCATCGGTGAGAGGACTAGTTCCGTTCTCACCCACGGAATAGGGAAAGGGTTAATGACCAGTCAGCCAGTGCCGTTGGCTGTGGTGTACAGCGACGGCAGTTGTGCCGGTGCGAACCAGCATCGTGAGTTCCAGATGGGGGATACTCGGGTGCTGGATCGGCACACAGTCATCAATCAGAGACCTCCACTTTTGGCCGTGGAGAGGCTACTGCCGAACCTCCTTCACAACCGAGGGTAACCATAGTTCACCGGGGAAAACCTAGGGTACATATGGGTGTGCCGAAGGAGCATCTGTTCAGTGTAGACTACTTGGAGCCCAATAAGATGACCGTATGTGAGCTAGTCAAGCTTCGTGTCGAATACGGTATCCTGGATTTGGTAAAGATGAGGATTCCAGGTCCTACCGAATCCGTTAGCAATCCAGAGGACGGTGAGGTCGTCTTTTTCACAGACGTTCTTCAGCAGGCGTTCGGCTACCGTTGCAACCTCCAGTCTAGAAGATACTGGCCCATCTTGGATATAGCCCAGGCCAGTATAACCCTAACTTCTGGGTGGCCCTGATGGGGGTGATTGCTGCCTTCGATATTGCCGAAGAGGGGGAGCCTTCCTACGAGCAATTCTCCTGCCTATACAGCGTCACCAAATCTAAGAGCGCCGATCATGGGGGTTGGGTTCAGGCCAACTACCTCAGGGCTTCCAAACGGGGGCATTTCGTCAGTGCCGTGCCGACTTCTCAGAAGTCTTGGAGGAATCGGCGGGTGCTGCTCTCTGACAATTGGTAATCGCCTTCGGGAACGCTCGTCCGTTTTCATATTCCCACCACCTTCCAAATAGCCGGTAGGTCACCAATATACCAATCGGTAGGTCAATAATATGCCCGTTTTGAGAGATCCTCAATCATCATCTATTGTTTTGCAGGAAAACTGAAGCAGCCAATTCCTACTCAGTCAGAAGATTTATCAGGAATTTCTTTTTATCGAGAATCTAATCAGAGCCCGCCTTCTCACCCCTGCCAAGAGTGAGTCAACTTGGCCCTTCTTTTCATATGTTTATTTATGACTTTTAGTTGTTTGACCGATCTTCGGTACGTACAATGACCGACCCCAAAAAGTCTGCCGAGGCCAAGAAGATGAACGAGTCTTCTAAGAGGCGCCTCATGATGGGCTTGAGGGAGAAAAAGCAGAGACGGCAACCGGAGACGGCCCACGTACAGGCAGAGGAGGGTAGATCGGAAGAGCAGACCCTCGCCAATCTTCAGAGGCCGCATAATGCCGAGCTTGTTTCCAGGTGGGTTGCTGAAGCTGACTCAACGCCGAGGCCGGGGCAGACTGCCGAAGCTGCTGCCTCTAAGGCAGCTGGGAAGCGGCCACTGATGGTGGATCTTGATGCCGAACCAGTTTCCAAGCGTGGGCGGCAAACTGAGGTACCGAAGGCTATCCTTGCTACTAAGGACGAAGAGGGCTCTGCCGAGCCTGTCAACATCGCCTGTCTGCCCAAGACAGTCCAGTTTGCGAACCATATGATCCTCGGTTCGCAAATGGATTTGTCAGAGATTGAGGAGCTCCCTAAGAGGCTCCTTCGGGAAGAGGCTAGACGCGCCTTCCGTCTCCATGCTTCTGTAAGTTTCCTCCATTCTCATCTTCTTGTTTCCATTTGTTACATTACTTTGTCGGTTGACTGGTTCCTTTGTAGGCGTCCATGGATATGTGGCTCTGCATGAAGCGGGTCATCGCCTCTGCCGAACGGGAGAAGAGAGCATATGAGGACGGGCGCGCCAAGGTAGCCGAGGCTGGCAAGGGTCTTTAAGACCACGCCACTCTCTTTAAGGACAAGGAGGCTGCTGAACGGCAAGTGAAGGCTTCCGAAGCCAAGCTTGCCGAGATTAGAGTGGCTCTAGAGGCGGCAGTGGTGGTGGTGAGGGATGCCGAGGCGGCTAAGGAGGCTATGCAAGTTGCTCTGGAGGAATTGGAGTGGGCCAAAGCTACGGAGATCGAGGCAGCCGTTCGGGAGGCCATTCGGGGGTACCGTTCCTCGGAAGAGTTTACCGCCCTCCTGGACCATGAGGTAGGTTTGGAGATGGCGGATCTCCTCTACCGATTCAAGCGGTACAATTCTGGGCAGAAGCTGAACCTAAACTTCGTTGCCGATCCTCCCCTTCTTCCTGAAGGTATTACCGAAGAAATGATCGAGGATTATGAGGAGGAGGAGGCTCCTGAGGGTGCCGTTCCTTCTGAGGGCCCTTCTACTATTGCCGATGCTAGTGAAGGTGCCCAGGGTGCTGATGGGGAGTCTGTCGTTTGAAGCCTTGTTGAGCTTTGTAATATTATATATTTTTTGTATCTTAAATTCGTCATAAGGCGATTGGTTCCGAACACATTGATGTCAAGGGCATCTTTAATTATAATTTTGGATTCTCTATTCTGCTGAGTTTATATCGGTGTTCTATTTTTGCTTACCGTCAACTTGGTTATTTCCTTATCGTCGCCGAGGGCTTACGAGTCTTTGGAATTTCAAATTTGTTTACCAAGTGTGAGTTTGATTGGTATGGTGAACAGATTTTTATATTGCACTTGGTTAATCAAGATAGAGATTGCCGATGGCTAATCAAAATATAGGGTTTGCCGATGATTCATAAAATTTTGTTAATTTCAATGATCGTTTTTTTAATCAAGTGCAAGTGAATTTCGAATCGGTACCCTGTTTTAATGCTCATCGTAGGCCAAGTATTAATCGTCAAGTAATTGAGTCGCCGAAGGCTGGCGTGCGTACTTTGAAAACAGTATCGAACACAAAAACTCTTTTCATTTCATTTTGCCGTGGGCAAAGTTACAGTTTCTACCCTGCCGTTGGCTAGGGAACTATTTAAAATAACTTTTCAAGTGCTCAACATTCCATGGGTGACCGAGGGTCTTGCCATTTGAATCTCGAAGTCTATACGTTCCGGATCTGAGGATGCCGATGATCTCGTAGGGTCCTTCCCATGAAGGTCCGAGGGTTCCCTCCGTGGGATTTTTGGTCGCAAGAGAGACTTTGCGCATGACCCAGTCTTCGATTCTGAAGGAGAGGGGCCTGACCCTTGAGTCGTAGTATGGAGAGACGCGTTGCTTGTATGCCTCGTTCCGAAGATTAGCTTACGTTCGGTGCTCCTCAACCAGATCAAGGTTCAAGGCAAGTGCGACCTTGTTCGCCCCAGGAGATAAACTTTCCGTTCCGTAGGATGGCTCACCAATCTCTAAGGGGACGACGGCCTCCGATCCGAAGGCGAGAGAAAATGGGGTTTCGCCGGTGGAGGTTCGATAGGATGTTCGGATGGCCCACAGAGCTTCGGGAAGCTTCTCCGGCCAGACGCCTTTGGCATTGTCGAGTTGCCGTTTCAATAGCTTCTTG